CCCCAAAACCCCAAAACCCCAAAACCCCACAGAGAACAGATTAGGATATATTTTAAAAAAGAAGTTAACATTAATTTTAGTAGTTTACAAATAATGTCATTTATGTATATGAATCCAGCCAGGACAGTCAAGCAATTCTCTGTTTAGATTCCTTCAATTTAGACATCTTTGGATCTAAATGAAAGAGACTCTCTATTAGACTAAAAACCTTAAGATGAAATTCAGCCTTACAATGATATGCAGAGTATGTACAACAAGGAACTTAACTAGGCAAGTAGCTTAAACAGCACTTAAAATAACCAATAAAACTTGGCTGACTATCAGCATGTCACAAAGAGTCCTTATTACAACGGATATGCAATGGATTCAGTCATTCAAGAGGTGGGAACTGAAGAGGAAAATACTACTAATGAGCAGTTGGGCCATCTGTCATTTTCTAATAATCAAAGACGCATGAGTTTGATATCTCTTCAAGTAAGTTCACCCATTTTTTATTTAAGCAAGTAATTCTCACTCATAAATATTTAGAAAGTATTCTAGATTTTGTAGAAGGACTACTCACTTAGAAATAACTAGGATCTACTTCACTTGCATATGTACTTCACTACCAATTATGAGTTCTTTGCCAACTTGTCCAAAGAAAAAGGCTAGAATAATCTGTTTAGCTTGTTTAAGGGAATGAATCTAGAATTTTACGACCCTAATGAGATTGTATTTAACTATGGAGAGCAGGGAGACTGCTTCTACATTATTATTTAAGGACAAGTTGGAATTAAAATCCCAACTGAAGTTTCCCTCGAATTCGGCAATTACTATGAAACATATACATATCTTATGGATAAAGGTGGTGATGTAATGAAATGCAAGGATAGCCATTCAAGAGTAGTCAAGAAATTTATTGAGATCATAGGGGTTGATCAGTTACAATTGTATAAGATCAGGAATATAGAGGAATTTTATACCACTATAATGAGTATTATAAAGCTAGAGTAATCATCTTCCTTGTATAATGGAGATGAGAGTTCTTCGATATAGAATGTAAGTAGATCGGATTCAAGTATATTTGGAGGAGACTCATCGACGATCAATGATAAAAGAAGCAAGATCAATAGATCTTTACTATAAAGAGAACAATTTCTCTAAGAGTTTGTCAAGTAAATCTAGATTTAAAGAGATTCAAATAAGCCTCTTTGTTTTCAGGCCTAAATGGTAGTTTTAGATCAAGTTAATATCTTAAAAGAAGGAAAGAGCTTTGGAGAATTAGCTCTAATTAATGACTCTCCTAGAATCGCGACATGCTAGGCTTTAAAATAAGCCTCAACTCATAACCCCGATGCATTTCAATAGCAATAAATTCAGGATAATAGACTTTAATAGAAAATAGTGCTTGCTGTAGTAAATAAAAATGACTACTTGAGTTATATAAGTGAAACATTCCTTAATAAACTCAAGAAAGCTATCTAGGGCATTTAGAAGTATGAGATATTCTAAAGACTCTCGGAGAAAAAGCTCTAAGATCTTTTCTACTTTTTGGAGGAAAAGAATTTATTTAGAAATCAATTCTTATTTCAAGAAGGGGAGAGTATAGATGGAGTATACTTTATGACTTCTGGTGAGGTATAGAAACTTAAGAATGTTCGTGGTGCAAGCAAGAACAAAGCTTCTCCTAGAAGAGTTGATTAATAGTTAGTCCTGACTATAGTAACTGGCTAGGAGATAATTGGACTGGAGGAGTTAATATCAGGTGCCAAAGAGCGATAGTACAGCCTCAAAGTAAAAAGTGAAAAGGCCTCACTTATGTTTTTTAAGGCAAAGGACTTCAAGGAGAGAATACTTATACCCTACCCTGGTCTGATTCAAGAAATCAAGGATTAAATAGAGTAGAGGTAGAAGTTCTATGATTCGAGGCATGCTAGCTCTAAGAACTTTCTAGTCTAGCAACAAGTTGAAAAATATCAAACCCAGATGAAGAGATCTACCCAAAACTAATAGTAGTCACTCATATCAACAAATATGAACTAGCTAGATGGAATAATAGAAGACAAAGATAAGGTGATCTTAAGTGAGAAAGAGAGAATGGCAAAGTATTTCTTTGGAAAGGGAGTCCTTAATGAAAGAAGTTTCAATCTTGTTTAAAAGGCTATTAATATTGACAAGGTCGATGTAATTAATAAATACCAGGGCAAACCCAAGCACAGATAACCTAAGTAAATCAGAACTAGAGATCCTACTCCTGTAGCTACGAATAAAGAATTTTAATCTAAAAATTTAACACCTCGGACTTAAATGAGCCAGCAATCCTTCATAGGATAAGATTACCAAAGCCAGATGAAGAAGCAAAAGAGTAGTTTAAGCCTTCGAGGCTAGCAGAGTGAGTAGGCTCTAGTTCGAGATTTTAGCATACTGAATGCAAACTATCAAGACAGAAACCATAACTTAGATTCGATTAACAAGTAATTAAACACTCGCATCGATTAAGAAGTTCGTAGTCTCAGATCCAAGAGTGAGAATAAGCTGGTGGTCAGCTACTTAAGAGAGAACCTACTGAAGGACAAGCAAATTCATCTGAGTTTCCTTGATGATGACTCTGATGATCAAATTGATCAGAATATGAAGACATTTGAAGAGATCTATAGAAGTAGAAAACTAGACAAGGTAAGGCTGCTTGCGAAACAGTAAAGACCAAGCAATTCTAGAACTCAAAAGGATCAGGAAAAGCATAAAGAGTCAATGAACGAGTTATTTGAGAAGATATCCCATTAGAAGGTTAGTAGAAACGAAGAGGGATAGAAGAATGGGAGTAATGTAGAGAAGTCCAGGAATACTCAACTAAAGTAAATCTATTCTAATGATTAGAGTAGATTTATGCAGAAACTTAAAACTACAAACAATGAAGAAGTCAAGAAGTAGAAGAAGTACTTTATTCATATTCCAACTTATGCTTATGCTAACATTTCCAATTCTCAATCTTAAGATGGAATTCCTTCACAAGAAGACAGCATTACCTCTAGTTAGCAATACTTAAACCAGAAACAGCATAAAGAACATTTTGACCACTATATAAACTAGCATACTACTACAAATACAATAGCCACTAATACTAATGACTTCTTTAAGCATCTTGAGATAAAAACTACTAGAAATATGCCTAACCCTTAATATAACTACCTTAGAATCCAAACTCAGAACAAACCATTTATGCCCTCATCGATGTATAAAGAATATCAGCCCATCATTTCCGAGATGAAATCTGTTTAGACCACTTCTAATAACTGTCCCACAATGGTCAAACTCATCTCCCCTGAAAAGATTAATTTGAGCAATAACTTCAACCTTAAGACTTCCCACTCAACGAAATCACCAAAGATTATAAAGAAAGCCATCGTTTAACCTAATAGTCAGAGACAAAAGTCTCCAATTATGAATAAGGTCATAGATCTCTCTATTCTAAAGAACAGTGATAAGAGACCAGGCAGGAATGGCTAGACGCCCTCATAGATTATTGACAAAATGTAGGGAGTATTGTCTAATAAAAGCTTAAGTACTCTAATGATGAAAAGCTACTCAATTAAAAAGATAAAGCTCAGAGAAGGCAACAATGGTGCAAGCAGCACACCCAGGACTAGCTAAAATACAGGCATATCAGTAACTTAAATCACTGCTAAGTAGTCTCAAAATACTTAGAACAAGGTCTAGGGATATGAGTTTTTACTGAGTAAAAGAGACAAATCTCCTTAGCAGAATCAGTAGGCTTATGAGTCACTGTTTACTCAAAAGAGGATTAATGACATGATTCCAGTTAAGGAACTGATTCCTGATAGTAAATCTTATTAAAGCAAAAAGTAATTTGAGATGCAGAAGATCGGTGATAAGCATCAGAAAGACATTAAAAGGATCAATAAAGAGTTGAAAAATATATGAAACTATATAGAACTAACTACACAAAAGTAAGAAATAATATTTAATGATTTTGATTTGTTAATTTTGATTTCATAACTTGTCAATACATACATATTAATGGGGTTTTGGGGTTTTGGGGTTTTGGGG